AAAGCCGTGGGTCTAAGAGCTGAGTCTCGACCTTTCTAACACAACTCAGTAATCTCATACACACACACACACAAACAGCCGTTTCAAACCTCCATCACCCCGTTCCCCCCTTTAAAGGAAATCTACCACTTTCCCTTGGAGCTCAGCTGGCAAATCCCACAAATGAAATGGCCGTCATGTTTCCCTATCTATGTGCTGTCGAGTGTTGATCTTGGACTCTGGCTGGAGCCAAGGATCGTGACGGTCGGTGAGGTAGAGAGAGACAGAGAAAGGGAGGCGTCAGTCGAGTCAAAACACAATAGCCAAATGCACTCCAGGCGTAGTGGTACATGGGGAAGCTTCCATCCCCATTTACTGTGCGCGCATGTCGGGTTATGGGGAAGGTAGAGTGACATGGGCAGTGGGAGAGCAAATGGTGAGGGGGTTATAGGGCATTATAAACTAGTTACTCTTGGTTGGGAAGGGTAGATGGGGAGCCGGGGGGGCATAGGTCATGAAAACCTGTGCATTTTTGTTGGTGGATGAGAGTGCCATGCCTGTCTGCCTAATCTGTTTCACCTACCTGTCTCTTTTCTTTAGTCTGACTATATTTGTCTTCCTGTCTATTTCTCTCTTTCTGTCTCTGTCTCTTCGTGTCGGTGTGTCCTTGCGTGTTTACATTTTATTCTATCCCTTCTTTCATTTCCAATATTTTGATTTTTTCTTTGTTTATTATTCTTCCCATCTTATTCTCATTTGTGCGCTTCTCCTTACTAAGAACTGGTGTTGGCTCCTTCTCCTGTAGGCTGTTCTTCGTTAGTGTTTCAGCCCTTACTGTGATTTTGCGTCAGCTTTTGCAATACCTTGCGTCAGCTGCTGCTACATGCTTGCGTCAGCTCTTGCTTTATAAAGCGTCAGCTCTTGCCTTATCTTGCGTCAGCGATTTCTTTATCTTGCTTCAATTTTTACTGTAAGATTGTGTCAGCTTCTATGTTATCTTGCGTCAGTTCTTACTGTAAGCTTAAGTCAGCTTTAATGGAAAGCTTGCACCAGCTACAATTGCAAACATGCGTCAACTCGAACTACAAATCTGCGTCCGATCTCACTTTTAACAGCTCGTTCTGTATGCTTTCGTCAGTTGTTTCAGGAAGTTTGACTCTAGTTGCTCTTCAAGGTCGAACCATCAATCATGTGTAATAAAGAAATTAACCTGAGATAGACTACAGATATTGCTGTATTTTCAGAGGAATGCACTGTACCTGTCTATTGGATGATTGTTCTTGTGTGTCTGTGAGATGAACAGCCTGTCTAAGTGTTTATTTAACTGAATGTCCCCTTAGTCTTATCAAGTTTCACACTAAATGTCTATGGTTTCATTTGGCTGTCTGTTTTTCCTGTTTGATAGTCTGTTTTTTTTTGTTCTGTTTATTTGACGACTGGCTTGGCAGTGTGCTAAGTTATCTGACTTTGTTTTTCTTCTGGCCTGGGTTGAGACCCCTCGAGTCTTTATGACCTCCTTGAGCAGCATGGAGTTAATGTCGTCGAGGTAATTTGAATGTTCGGAGGGGAACTTGTAAGTAATTGATAAGGAAATAAATAAAGGGTCCGATAAAAGGTTATAAAGTACAAAATAAGCATTTCCAAACATCATTTTGTTTGTAAGCTGGAGGAAAAAAAAGTGTTCAAGCAAAATTCCGAACAGGATAAACGTGACAGGAGAGGAGCTGGGGACGAGAGTTATTTATTATTTGTATTTACTATTTATTTCTGCAGAATCGAGTTATTAGTTATTAGACCCCGCCTTTCTAACTAATTTTTTTTTGCTCTATTATATCTACTACATATATATTTCTCTCTAACACACGCACACATCCACAGGAAGCAGCCTGTAGCAGCTGTCTAACTCCCAGGTAGATATTTACTGCTAGGTGAATAGATGCATCAGGGTTAAGAAACTCTGCCCATTTTTGCTTCCGCCGGCGCCGGGAATCGAACTCCGGACCTTAAGACTACGTATCCAGCGTGCTCTTCACTCAGCCACCAGTGCCCCAAGCGTGTGTGTGTGTGAGTGATTAAAACAAAACTAATGAATATTAAAAGAGAGATAAGCAAAGCACATTATAAAACAACACGACATACATACCCTTAACTAACACCCTCTTCACCATCAATTGGAAAACAAACTGATTAATATGTAAAAATAAATAAAAATAATATATTTCTTATATTCTTAGTCCTGAAATTAATTTAAAGTGACCATAGGGCGAAAGCTTCGCACTGTCCAAACACTTGACGTAATTTTGACATTCTCGAACACATCGTCCAAAATTCACGTGGGTTTTATGGAAACGAGGGGGCCTCGTAGCCTGGTGGATAGCGCGCAGGACTCGTAATTCTGTGGCGCGGGTTCGATTCCCGCACGAGGCAGAAACAAATGGGCAAAGTTTCTTTCACCCTAAATGCCCCTGTTACCTAGCAGTAAATAGGTACCTGGGAGTTAGTCAGCTGTCACGGGCTGCTTCCTGGGGGTGGAGGCCTGGTCGAGGACCGGGCCGCGGGGACACTAAAGCCCCGAAATCATCTCAAGATAACCTCAAGATAACGATATACACCGTAAGATTCACGCTCCCTAGAACTGATGAGTATCGATATGTTAGGCGGGGTCGTCTAGGTTCCTACGCTTCTGAATAGGCAAAACCACTTCAAAATTGACGCTTGTTGCCAAGATGGAAATCCCAGACGCCAAAAGGTAAACATTCCCGCGAGTCCAATGCAGGCGGTGAACCTTATAGAGATCACTGACGGGTTAGATAAACACTTTACTGGATTACCATCTCTTGCTCCTCTTCCTCATCATCATCATCATCATCATCATCATTCTCTCCCTGATCCTCTTACAGTTCTGAGGGGTTTTATGAGCTGTCAAGTTTAGTACATCCGCTCTGTAGGCCTGAAGGAGTTGTCCTGTCAGCGGGGCGTCGAGTGTAATTAAGGCGTCTGTCTCACTGTTTCAACACGTCAATAGGGGACATGTGTGTGATTTCTCTATGGGAGGAGGAAGAAGAAGATGAAGAGGAAGAGAAGGACTAGGAGCAGGAGGAGGGCTAGGAGGACTAGGAGGAGGAGGGGAAGAATAAACTACCATTAACAAAGCTGTCACGAAATATGTCAGCAAAGATGAAATGCACGAATAAAAATATCGTCCGCATCCACAGGCAGTGGGTGAAGATGAACGAAATCCAGGGCGACTTCCAACCGACCAACGGTTATGAGACTAGGACGCTCCACTATGACACACCGTTGACGCAGTAATTGCAAGGTAATGCCATTGCTGTAGCTAAATTCTACGACCATACATTTCGCATTTCATTTAGCTCAGGGTATTAGGCAAGTTTTATGTGATATATCACAGTGCCGTCCCCGGCTGTATGTTGCTGAACGGGAAATGATTGTGTCAAATGTGTCTGTACTCGCTGACTTGAGTTGCAGGGTCGAGCGTCAGCTCTTGGACCCCACCTCTGTCGTTTTATCCCCGTCAATATCAAGTTGACATTCATGTATTGGGATACAGCTCTTGATATACAACTTTCTGGGGCGCTGAAGTGATCACTTCCGGCTACTTTGCTTTTCATAACATTTCATTTAAGACTCTGAGCAGAGTTGATCTCTACTGCCTTTTCTTCCAACTGCTAATGTTCATAAACATTTTGATTGCTTAAATTTACTCTAATGTAAATATAATTACTATTTACTTGAATCTTGTGTCTTGAACAGGTCTCCTCTAAAACCATATCAGGTCCTAAGCTTATTAGGTCCTGACATGATGTATATAGTGAACCTAAAAGATAGAGAGAGAGAGAGAGAGAGAGAGAGA